TCATAAACCAGTTGTGGGTTAAATGCAATGGTTTCCAACTCTTCCTTATCAGCATTTCCGACCCCAACACAAAAGGTCAAAACCCTTGATCTGATGAGGTCATTTGCAGCAGCCTGAATGTTGTCTGAGGACTTCCCAGCCACCAAAACCACGAGAATTTGTGGAATGTTTTCCTCTATTCTGCTGCCAGAACTGCTTGTGAAATGATTTCTGAGAACAAATTGAAGTGCTGAGCCAATGTTTAAGAGATTACCCCCTTAATTCTTATCTGTCCCAGGCGGTTAACAAGATCAGATTTTGATGTCACTGTGTTTAGATAGAACTCAGTTCTGGGGGTGTCACTAAACTGGGCCAAGCCAATTCGAGTGCCTTCACTGCTGATACCAAGGTTGTTAATGACATCGATGAGAAAGTCTCTTACTAAAGGAAAGTTGGCACTTCCAACGTTGACAGAACCATCCACTAGGAAGACGATGTCTCTTTGGGTTAGAACTGCAAGTTGGTGGGTGGAAGATACAGAAACAATGAACATGACATCACAGCAAATTCAGCTTAGCAAGATCATTATATGCATGTGTTTACACAATGTAGACACATAACTCTTAACGCTTATAGGGCAAGCCAAAGAAAGGATTGACAATGAAAACTAGAGTATCTTAGCAAAGTTAGTCTTAGACAATATCTTCCATCTACTAAGTACTTTGTGATAAATAGTATTTTTAATGTTAAACAATGTATATTATCAGGATGCCATCACAGATACAGGAGATTGCATGTTTGTTCTCATTTGGGATGATCCTGGTAATATGTACTTTTGAAGTGAATGCAAATTGAAGAATATTTAAACAAAACTAAAAGCTGAATGTTTGGTGGAACTAAGTGAGACCAGAAAGAGAGAAATATGGCAGTTTATTTGCCAACTTATTTTTGAAAGGTGCATCCTAGATCTGGCCTCACTATAAAGTGACTTACATGGAGCAAGCATGCAGCTAGTGAAGTCCTAAATCCTTCATGCTCACACCAGGTCAATCAATTTTTAAGGTAATGAAGCAAAGACCAGAATGATGGCCCTGAAGGGTGCACCTTTAAAACAAGTCAGCAACGGTAGCTCCCATTTTCCTATCCCATACAGGTTCTCTTTAAGGGCCAATATACAGTAAATGCTTAAGCACTACTAGCCTATTTAGCCTTCAAATCATAAGACACATCATGTAGACACATCACTAAACCATTCTTATTTTGTCAGGACACAGAAGGCAAGAAAAGATGTGGCTTCTCTTAAACATGACTAGGGCTTAGTAATTTGAGGGTAGGGCTTGAAAGATACTGATTTAAAGTTTTCTATCCTAACGGGGTATATTAATGGCATGACCTACTACTTTGACCTTTTCACCACAATTCACAATGAAGTCAAATGCAACTCTTTGAAGAGATGCAGGGATAGTAAGCAGAGTGTGCAGAATTCAATGCAAAGCAAGTTATATTTGGGCATTCAACCTACTCTCCAGCATTCCAACCGCCACTGCATTTTTAGTTCTGGGTGAATCCATTCAAGGTGAATTACAGCATTAAAATGGATTCAAAAACAAGATGTTCATCATCTACTTATATGTGTCACTCTTGCTTAATATGTGTATAGGAGATATAGTGATCTCCATAGACAATAAGAGCAAGGTCATCTCTGCTAGCATCCACACCATCAGTTAATCACTTCATTTTCAAACCTCACAGGAATGAATAGATCATTCTTCAGATTAATAGACAAAAACTATTAAGAAAACAATATGTAATCCAAGAAGTGTTTCAGGATGGAATGGATACCTAGTAAGTAAGCCCTGCATATACTGTACATTGCACTTGACAATTATATAGCTTAGTAAAACAGACATCTCTATGTAGATGGAAGTCATAAAAAGAGCAACCATAATGTAGAATCATACTGTAGAATAGATGAAAATGAAAGATGAAGAAGAGTGGCAGAAAAAAACAGGGAGAATAATGAAAGTAGAAAGGACTTAATGCTGTATGTTTCAAGTTCATTCTAGTGTTATCTCACAACCTAATCCTAAATGAATGATTTGCCTCAGCCTCACTAAAAATCAAATGCTAGATTTCTTTGCTGCATAATGTGCATACATTATTAAAATGTAAAAGGCGTGGTTTAATCCTAAAGCGGGACATAATATAACACAAAAAAAATAAGTAGCCCAATAAAAGAAAAGAATAAGAATATCAGTTTAATCAAGAGACATCCTCTGTAGTACTTTTTTCTGTTGCTAGGTGTCCTCAGTCTGATGGCCAGCATCATATAACCCACTTCCTCTAAGCACAGGTCCTCCTGGACCCGACCCAGCCTATTACTGGACAGCAAAAGAAGAAATAGTACAGTGATGAGCTCATGTCTCTGTCACTCTGCTTTCTCTTCCTATCAGTGTGCTTCTTGTCCGCATATGAACTGATTGGCTCCTTATACTGTTTCTTCCTCTCCCACTCCAACTATCCTGTACAGGAACATCAAGGGACTGATACCAGGTCACATTCAGGTATCTACACTGTTTGCAATAAAAATGCATTTAATGACGATTATGAAGCTGCATTATTTTTGTGTCTTTTTTTTGCCTAGACTTCAGCTTTAACCATTTGCCCTCCAGAGGATTTACCCCCCTTAATGACCAGGCCTCTTTTTGCTAATCGGCGCTGCACTATTTCAACTGATAATTGTGCGGTCATGCTATGCTGTACTCAAACAAAATTACGTCCTTTTTTTCACACAAATAGAGCTTTCTTTCGGTGGTATTTGATCACCTGTGTGCTTTTAATTTTTTGTGCTATAAACAAAAAAATACCCCAAATTTTGAAGAAAAATTATATTTTTTACCTGGTTATGAAAAATATATAAACTCAAAGTTACTCATAAATGTAGCCAAATGTATTCTGCTACATGGCTTTGGATAAAAAAAATCTCAATAAGTGTATATTGATTGCTTTGTGTTAAAGTTATAGCATCTACAAACTATGATATAGATACTGCAATTTACGCCATTTTTTTGCTATACAGCGCTGCACCAGTTTAACTGACAATTGCGCAGTCATGCAATACGGTACATAAATGAAATTTACGTCCTTTTTTCACACCAATAGAGCTTTCTTTTGATGGTATTTGATCACCTGTGTGCTTTTTATTTTGGGCTCTATAAACAAAAAAGTTTTGAAAAAATATTTTGAAAAAAAAAAAAATATTTTCTCATTTCTGTCATAAAAAATATCCAAAAAAACTAAAATTTCGGCATAAATTTTGGCCAAAATGTATTCTGCTACATGTTTTTGGTTAACAATCCCAATAAGAGTATATTGATTGATTTGTGTGAAAGTTATAGCATCTACAAACTATGGTATAGATAATGAATTTGCACAGCTTTTACTTTCTGACTGCCCATCACATTTCTTGAGGTGCTAAAATACCAGGAAAGTACAACCCCCCCAAATTACCCCTTTTTGGAAAGTAGACACCTAAGCTATCTACTGAGAGGCATATTGAGTCCATGGAAAATTTATTTTTTTTCCACAAGTTTTGGGAAAATGACCAAAAAATGTTTTCTTTTTTACATAAAGTTGTCATTTAAATTATATATTTCTCACACAAGCCATGGGTATATGTGGAATTACACCCCAAAATACATTCTGCTACTTCTATCGAGTATGGGCATACCACATGTGTCAGCCTAGCCCCGTATTTTGCAGATCTCATTTTTTCTCACAAGGTTTTGAAATATAAAAAAAGGAAAGAAAAAATATGTTTTTGTTTTCTTTCTTAATTTTCCAAAAACCTGTGTCAACAAATGAGATCTGCAAAATACTGGTGGGTGCACTTCATTTTACTTTTAATGGCCAATTGTTTGGTAAAATATAAAACATGATGGTGTGCTGAGTAAATAGATATCAAACATGACATGCTCTAAAACTGCGCATGCCCCGCGCAATGGTGACAAACTGCATACATTTTTAATATCCATAGGCAATGCTTTAAAAGCCTTTACAAGCTACTATTTTAGATTTACAGAGGAGGTCTAGTGTTAGAATTACTGCCCTTGATCTGACATTCAGGGTGATAGCTCACATGCATGGTGCAACCATTGTTTACATACCGACACAGGGTCAATGCTCGCGCACGCAGGTGTGCGCGGGGGGCAAGGGTGCTTTTTTTTAAAGTTATTTTGATTTCTAAATTATTTTTACACTGTCCCTTTAATTTTTTTTTTTCTTATCACTTTTAATGCTATCACAGGGAATGCAAATATCCCCTATAAATTCAATGGGCATTGTCATATATTCTTTTTTGAGAAATATGGGGTCTGTTACACTCTTGGTCTCTCCTCTGCCCTTACATTATCTAATCTCACCAAGATCGGTGTGATCAGATGCTTTCCCAATTTACAAATGGAATATATGTTTATATCCTGAGAAACTGAATTGATGAAGTGCTCCTACCTTCCAATTTCTTAGACTATAGAGATGATTGCCACCATTCTGGTCTCCAATCAATATGGTCAGCTTGCAGAAACACTGTCTGCATTCTCAGGTTCCCCTGATGGCATGGGACTGCCCAAGTAGGCCGTGGAAGGCAGCAGGGGAGGGGGGCATCATCTCTCTCTGATTGTAAAAGCAATCCTGCAGCTCATTAGCCACTAGGATTGCTTTTACATGAAAGCTGATCGCTGGCTGAAAGAAACGATACCAGGATGATGCCGGCAGCTATAGACATCATCCTGGTATAATCACTCAAAATCCAGTGATGTACCAGTACTTTGCTGGTCCTTGTTGGGTATATATGCTATGTTCTTTTTTTTTCAGCCTGTGGGCTGAATGAAAAAAAAGAGGAGAAATCTCTGCCAGAAAAATTGAGTGTTTTGTATGCCCACCATTTGAATATACCGCTTTTGCATCAACCCACTTCTAATGTGTGGGCACACATTAGGTTGCATGGTGCCACATGAGCCAAATCCAAGATTGTACAAATGTCTAAATAGTGGCAGGCTTGAATATAAAATTGTCCACAGGTGGTACCCCATATGGAAAAAATGACACCAAGTCCCAAAATTTTGCCACTTTTCTGTGCATCCAGGGGGCTCCATGTGACTATCTTTTCCCTCAAAAATCCAAAACCCATATGTATAGCCTGTTGCTCTCTCACAGGTCTTATACATCTTGAACCCATGTCTGGCACACTTTTGGGGAGAAATTGTTTAATGCAAGGTTTAAACGTGAAAAATGACAACATGTTGAGGGACTCATCAACACAGATTTTTTGCTGGGGAGCGATATAGTCATCAGTATCTGGTTAAGGTGATTTATGATGGGTCGAATTTTGGGAAGCCGGTCAAATTCAGGGATACCCTTAGGACAACAAGTGTGTGTTGTTTGAAATCATAAAACACAGTCTCTCATCAAGGCCTTCTCAGCAGAGACACAGGCATATGATGAATGGTGACTGCGATGGCCAATCCAAAATGTTCCAGCCTTTCCTCTGCAACCATGCTCTAGTGGACTTGGAAATTTTGGGATCATTGTCCTGTTGAAAGGTCCAACGTCTCCCAAGCCTCTCAGTGTTGTCGGACTGCAATCACGCTTTTTCAATGCATCCAATATCTCCTGTACTGAAGAGAATTGCATGGTACCTTGTTTGCCACCTGAAGCTTCCTGTACCTGCAGAATGGGCAAAACTGCCAGAATTTGTGGGCTGCCAATTGGGATTTGCAAGCCACCAAATGCTAGGGGCTCTACAGGCATGTGTGCAATCTCTGGTGTGTTCTTTTCATCATAGGCCTTGTATTCTTCCTCTCCACAACATAGCGTTGATACCATGGGCTGTGAAAACAGTTCTAATTTTGTTTCATCAGTTCACCACAGAACACATCCCACAACTTTTGTGTTTGTCCACATGAGGCTTTTGGCATACTGCAAGTCGATATCAGGCCTGATTCTTTCATTTTTTGCAAGACAGCAAGGGGGTACGCCTGGGAGTTCTGGCACGGAGGGCCTTCATTACGCAGTGTTGCGTCTTATTGTCTGGGCTGAACTTCTGTATCCCCCATCTGACCGTTCAATCTTTTCTCAGGTTTATTCCTCAGCAGCGTCTGGCATCAGGATTACTGAATGTGATTACTGGGATTCTCTCCACTTACGCTTCAAGGTGGTCAATGCAACACTGCGCACAGCAGTCCGAAGTCAGATCTTCTTTCTGCCACGCCCAGGTAGCGTTTACAACAGTGCTGGGAGGGGCAAGATTCCTTGAATTTGCGAATGATGCTTCCTAAGGTGTCTCTTGGTATGTTTATAACATCTTTGCAATCTTCTTATAGCCATTGCCCTTCCTGTGGAAAGAGAAATCACCACATCTTCTTGTCTTCCTGGAATTCTCTTGCCTTCACCATGTTTGTAACCACACCAGTAAATGTCTAGAAGGAGCTGAGTATCACAGTCATTTTAAAGCTGCCTAATTCCCTCCCTTATTATGCTTTGCTGCTCGGTGACATCCCAGGTGTGTTTTTCAATACCTGATGGAAAAGCACCTGTATGAACCTCTGTTCTTCAGAGTGGTAGTCTTTAAGGGGTTGAATAATTGTGGCAATGAAGAAACCACATAAGAACCATTTACTACTGTATTACATAAACAATTGATGTCATTTTAGTTGCATTTGGGTAGTTACAACGTCCTTGTAGGATTTGATTCTGAATACAATTCCAAATGTACACTATAGTCCCTAAACCCCCCTTTACAGCATTGGGGGTTGAATAATTTTGGTCACAACTGTATATGCTATGTTCTTTTTTTTTAATGCAGCCTGTGGGCTGAATGAAAAAAAAGAGGAGAAATCTCTGCCAGAAAAAGCGTGTGGTATGCCACCATTAGAATATACCGCCTTGCATCAACCCACTTCTAATGGTGGGCACACATTAGGTTGCATGGTGCCACATGCACCAAATCCAAGATTGTACAAATGTCTCTTTTCCCTCAAAAATCCAAAACGTATATGTATAGCCTGTTGCTCTCTCACAGGTCTTATACATCTTGAACCCATGTCTGGCACACTTGCTGGGGAGAAATTGTTTGAATGCAAGGTGGCCAGAAAAATGAATGAGGGACTCATCAACACAGATTTTTTGCTGGGGAGTATAGTCATCAGCAAATTTTTGGTTAAGGTGATTTATGAGGGGTCGAATTTTGGGAAGCCGGTCAAATTCAGGGTTACCCCAAGGACAACAGAGTGTGTTGTTGTTGAAATGCATAAAACACATTATACTCTCATATCTATGCCTGGCCACGGCAGCAGAGAACACAGGCATATGATGAATCAGGTCTGTGGGCCAATACAACCACAATTATTTTTTTTTAGTAATGCCCATGTTGAGGGTTAGGCCAAAAAAAACCTTAAATTTGGAAACCGTAATGGGTTTCCATGTGAATGGTCTGGTAGGGTTTGAATTTGTGTTGTCGGTGATAAATTACTGTGCATATACATCGCTTTGATCCACAATCAATGCATACAGATCTTCCATGAAAAACAGCTCCAAATAATGCAAGGGAGTATTTAAATTTGCCGTTTCCACCTGAATTCCGGGTTGGGCAGTGAATGGGGGAAGTACGGGTGCTGCAGAATTTGTGGGCTGCCAATTGGGATTTGCAAGCACATTCAGAAGGATACTAGGGGCTCTACAGGCATGTGTGCGAATTCTTGGTGGTTGCGGGACAACACTTGTGCTCGCCACCGCAGCAGCTTGTACTGCACTTATGGGACTCGCCACGTCACCAAGTGATACTGCAGTGCTGGTATGTGAAAGACCAGGATGTACTAGGCTACTGGTGTACACCAGTTCACCAAAAGGTAGAGCGGCACCACAGTACTGGCACTCTGCTGCATATGAGTCATCAAAATTTACCAGCAAGTGCTAGCAGATATCAGGCCTGATTCTGCGAACACTTCAGTTTTGTGTGCAATGTATCAAGTAACAGTAACCTACTGACACTGCACTTGCTGGGGGATTGGGGGGGGTTAAGCATAGGGGCTAAACGCAGATGCAGGTGCCGGGGCTGATCCCGCTAACACTGTGTTTTTGGGGACATTATACGAATGTGAACACTGGTATAGTGCTGATCTGATCAAAGATATTGATCCGTTCAGACACTATACTAGCAATGGAGGTTTATTGTGTATGAGCGTATTCCTGGCAATCAAGGATTACTGAATGTGATTACTGGTGTACTGATGGGCAATCTGACGCTATCTGGGAGGGGCATGAAAACCACAGGAGCACGAATAAGTTTGCATTACAGCTCTTCGTTACTTTAACTGACAATTGCGTGGTCATGCAACACTGCACCCACTGCTACAGTGCTGATCTGATCAAAGATATTGATCCGTTCAGACACTATACTGGCAATGGAGGTTTATTGTGTATGCGTGTGTTCCTGGCACGCCCGTGGTCCTGGCAATCAAGGACTTAAATGTGATTACTGGTGTACTGACTGGCAATCTGGCGCTATCTGGGAGGGGCAAGATAACCACGGGAGCGCGAATAAGTTTAGCATCCCAATCAGGTTTTCATTGTTGCCTATGTTACTCTCTAAATCTGTACTAATAAACATTGTCACTGAGATGGAAAGAGAGAAAATCCACATTTCTTTTTGTTACTAGAATAGAAATACTAGGTAGGTTTTCCAAAGTGAAATATGTCATAAAAAAAAATGCTTTCCCTCCCTTTGAAGATATTTCCTCTCATTACCTGCTGTGTTTACAGGACAGAAAGTGAAAGGAAATCTCCCCAATATGACACAGATGGCCCAAAAAAAACCCGACAGGAGTTTAATTTGAACTCAATCCTAAAGTGGTTGTAAAGTTTCTTTTTTTTAATGAAAATAATAACCATGTTATACTTACCTGCTCTATGCAGTGGTTTTGCAAAGGGGGACCCAAACCTCTACTTTTGTTGTCCCTCGCTGGTGATCATGGCTCCTCCTCTTCTCTAAGTGTCCCAATAGCAAGCCACTTGCTATGGGAGCATGAGTGCATGCTTGATCCCGAGCCAGGCTGTGTGTGTCCATAGGCACACACAACGTTGTGTCCACACCTCGCATTTCCTCCTCAGAAGATTTTACTGATAGCAGTAGGAGCCAATGGCTCCCACTGCTGCTGAGTCTTCTGTGAGAAGAGAGGGGAGAAGAGCTACTGCAGATGGACACAGTGCTTGATCAAGATCAGGCACAAGTAAGATTTTAAGGGGGGAGCTAGGGGAGCAACTTTTAAAGGTTTTTACCTTAATACATTCTCTGACCTTTTGCCTATATAACCACTTTGACTTTACTCGATCCTACTCATTTTTAACAAAAAAAAAAAGTTGGGGTTTTATATATAGCTATTATTGAACAATCATTTTGAAGAAAGGAAATGACAGTTTCGGGGATTAATAAAGTATTCTGATTCTGAATCAAGCAGGAAATCAGTTTGTAAGGATCTTGATTGAACTCTTGAAGTTGCAACCATATTTATTAAACAATCTGTTTTCTTATGAAGTCCTGAGACTGCATGTAGATTAAATGATGGGGACACAGTTCGATAAATCACCTAAGGTAATTGTTCCAAGTGAGGTAAGCACATATAATGATGAGAACGCCTGGTGGTTTTAACAATATATAATGTAAATGCTATGGGAAATTACACATTTACCATTCAAGCATGGTTACTTGAATATCATCTGCGTACCTATAGAATTTCAACTCCAGGTTCACTATGAGTTTGTTCAGTACAATGCTTCCAATGCACTGCACTTATGTGCTAATATTTAAACCCCTTTGTATGGTTTTAAATGATATATGTATGTATGTAAGGGCAGCCATATTTGCCTTTTGCAAGAGGCTCTACATCCTTATTAGTGCTACACAATTATTGCGTTTTACCTCTCCTTTCATGATGAAAGTCAATGAGTTGGCCAAGAGATTGAAAACAATGCATAGCCCAGTTGGTATCTGCTACAGAAGTCTCTACACTTAATACAATAACAAATTAGATAAGATCAAGTAAGAAATAGGTGAAAATCACATAAAATAATAGTTTGGGGTAAATACTGTAATAACTTTAAATATCTACTGGTATATCTTTTTTCTTTTTGTAATATTTTGATATCTTCACATACACTGGTTTAAGAATATACAAAAAGTGGATGGAAATACAGGTGCCTAAAATCGAACTAAGTGGGGAAATGAATGGATAGGTCAGTTGAAAAACAATGGCATCTATACTACCCACATGATTGATGTGAATGCAAAAATAGTTTTTTTGTGAGTAATAAACCAGGTAATGGGTCGGCTCTGTAAACATTCATTTTTTTAATTAGGGAGTTATGTATGGCAAAAAGAAGAGTTTATGCTACCCAGTAAATGCAAACTAGTTTGTGTCAGTAATAAAATAGAGTGAATGGGCCAGCTCTGTAAAAGCCAATTTCCTTAGTTGGCGAGTCAACTATATTTTCTGCATATACTGTAACAACAATGCATTGCAAACATATGCTTCACACAAACAAATACCTGGGTGACATAGGCCCTTTGTGAAAAAGTGCAACACTCATTTAGGTAAGAATAGTAGGGAAAAACATTAGATGCAGACAATCTCCCGCTGCTGGCCTCTCTTGTGTCACATTGTTCTTCTTGGGATACCCTCCCTTTGAACCTCCTTGGTCACATTAATCTCATTAAAATGCTGCTCCTACCTAAGTATGACTACAATTTTCATAACTGTCCTATTTGGGTCCTTGTTTCATTTTTCTGTGAGATCGATTCACATGTTGGCTCCTTCATATGGAACGGTGTACTGCCCAGATTGGCTAAATCCACCCTTTGGCTTCCCTCTCGTCTGGGGGGGCTGGCTCTACATCATTTTCATACCTACTTCTGGGTGGCAATGCTGGTTTTCGTATATTGGTGGTTCATGAGCCCTACTGTAGATCCAATGCTGCAGTATGTTTGGAGTCTGCCTATCTGGACTCCTTAGCGGATCTCCAAAATTTGGTATACAGGGGTCCCGGGGCCTATGACAGGGTTTCAGTTCTGACGTGTGCCACCTGGAGGGTGTGGGGGGTTGCCTGTCCTCATTTTTGGAGTCAAAATCAGTGGTCCCCTGCACTATGAGGTAATCTTTCTCTCACTCATCTTTGTACTGTCCCAGACCATCAGGTTAGGGCACGCAGAGGTATCAAAATGCTGGAGGATATTATGCCCTCTGGGACTCTTTTGTCCTTTAAGTTCCACCTGCCAACCTGGATGTAATTCCACTACTGCCAACTGATGCCATTAGGGCTCAATTCCCTCAGCTGCCCCTCCTTCAGGCTTATCCGATCGAGGAGCGACTCTCCCAGGGTGAGATAGACAAGCCTTTTTCTACACTGTATGGAGCTCTTCGTACTACTGACTCCCCTAAGCTTGAGTGGGTGTGGGTAAAGTGGAGAGCTGATAAAGCTCCCTGGATAAAGAGAGCTAAGCGGAATGCTTGGAGGGCAGGCCTAAACTGGTAATTTCTTCTATAGATAAGATGATCCAAGTTAAGTTTCTTCATAGGGTATAATTACACTCCTGTGAGGCTTCATACAATATACTTGACATGCAACCCTATGTGTCCTAGTTGTCGAGATCCCATCTTTATATGTTTTGGGATTGCCTCAGTCTAGCAAGTTTTTGGACTGATGTTTTTGATGATCAATCTCAGATTACATCTGTTCCTTCCTACTTTCTCGGAGTTAGCCCTTCTAGGGATTCAGGAAGATGATCATTGTTCCCATCATACCAAATTGCTGATTTATTTCCTATTCTTCTATGCTAAGAAAGAAATCCTCCTTCGATAGACCTCTCCCACTCCCCCTACAGTGTCTTCCTGGGAGGCGATGGTGGATGCGGCCCTGCCCATGTACAAATTTACATAACTCAACAGAGGCTAGCCCTGGAAGTATGATAAAGTGTGATCCCCTGTACCTCAAAATAGCATGCCCTATTCCCTTTTCCCTTATTCTCCCCTCTATTTCCTTCCCTTGTCCTACTCTCCTTTTTTTCCCTGCTACCTCCTTCTAAACTGTTATTTAGACAGCTACCCCGTTATGGGAATCTGGTGCTTTCCCACAGTTTAACTCAGGATCTCTTTGATTGAGTAGCGACTTCATGATTTTTGTTCCATACATGCATGCTTACTACCCTGATGTACTATACAGTTGGACTCTATTTGTTCATTGGACTTGGTGATTATGTTTGGCATTGTATATTGTACATGTGTTTATTGGCTCTGTACTGTTCTTGTTTTCAATAAAGCCCTCCTGATTTGGAAAAACAAAAGATGCAGACAAGTTGCATCAAAGTCACACTACTTAGTCACACTGAAAATCGCAGCAAAATTGCATCGCAGTAGCGTGAACCAAGCCTTATAGTTTAATAATAGTCTACTATTTGTTTAAAGGCATTAGATAGTATGCAGTAGGCATACTACCGGTAAGCCAGAAGTATGCCTACTGTTGGGACAACCACTCCCTTAATCACCTCATTCACTCTGTGTCCAGGAACTTTTTAGACAATGAGGTGGCTAAAAAACATTCTCTGTAATGACTTTTTCCTCTCTTACAGGGTACAGATTCTGATTGGCAGTTTTCATAGACAGAGCTGCCATCATTCAGTCTACTCAACTTATACTGCTTTATCCCAAAAGGAGAAGTTTTGATAGAGACTACTCTTTTGCACCCCATTGCCTTGCAAGACCCTAGAGTGGGAAAGAAGATTATACAGGGGAAAGGGTATGTCCTTTACAAAAGGTTTGCACAGAGAACCATAAAACATAAAAGCAGATCTGCAATACAGAAGACAGAAATAGAAACCGTATTGTAGGCCTCT